TCATAGAATCATTAAGGTTGGAAAAGATCTTGACATAACAATTACCCCTATTCTATACAGTCCCCTTTGGTGAAAATCATCATGTACTCATAAATAAAATTTTTATGCTACTTCACACACATGCCAAAAACAACACACCTGCTACCATTTCCCTCTCTCCATCTACTTACTTTGGTATCCCCTTAATGTAGTACTCGGGTACCTTTTTCCCTCACACTATCTGAAGGCAATGTTGTTTCTGACTGCATCGACTTTAAAAGAATCCTCACGTTTCAATGCTTGGAACACTGCACATGGATTCACTGGTTGTGGTGAACCATTGTGTGTATTCATTTGGTTCTCATTTAATAACACTGAAAATAGTCTGGATTAAATGAAGAAAGATTCACAATTAAGGGCAGAGACTCCTGTGTCAAGCTATAATTCTTGCTGCGAACGTGAACTTATTTACTACAATGTTCAGGACAGTGTCATTCTCCATATAATTCCCTCAGACTTTTATGAAGTAAAGAAGTTTTTTTGTATTATCACTTATCCTCCCTATTTTTGTCCCAAGGAGAATATATTTTGTCTAGATACAGTATTAACTTTCATACAAAACCAACCTAGTAAGGTTTGATTATCCAGAATGTGGAACATAAAGAAATCACTCAATTTGAAAAAGTAAGTAGTCTCTCTGAGGACTTCTACCAAATTTTGTACTGTTTTGAAATTAGTTAAAAGTCATCGGGCCAGTGGGGTTCAAATATTTCAGCGTCTGTAAAGGCAACAGAAGCATCTGTGGTGGGGCATTAAATACACTGGAAATCAATTCTCAACTCTGATCTTAACTATGTAACTTGAAGTTGCAGTAATTTCTTTCTATAACACAACCCCTCTTTGCTTCTGTGTTTCTTATTGCAATAAAAAGCCGGAAATTAAACATGCAAAAGAATTAAATTAGAATTTGTAAACCAGCGATAATATTATTCTGTTTTCAAAATCTAAATCCTTAAAGTTCAGCTTAAATAAACGTCAGATACCAGCTCCTTAAACAGCGTTAGCAATGTAAACAGCATTTAAAAATGCAAGAAGTGAAACTTTATAAAAATTACATCTGCAGGTTGTCACAGGAGGATCTGCAAGAAATGTCAAACAATACTGTTCCTTGTGTACTCCACTGAAATAGCAAGAAAGTTACATCTGGAAACAGTTACTGGCACAGGACTTAAGTATTGCATTACCTTTAATGAACTAAATATTATTAATCAAGAGCTGGATATAATAGTGAGCCATCCAGGTGGCTGTAATTCAATTAATTTACCTTCTTGGGAGATGACAATGGACTTTGATGATTTGATGGTTTTGCTGTCTAGTGTCCAGGTGACAGCTGCAGGGGGATCAGAGGAAATCCGACATTGTAAGACCAATTTTTCACCATCTACTATTTGAGCATCCTGAAGCTTCTCTGTAAAGGAAGGTGCTGTCCCTTTGCTTGCTGGTGGTTTGCTTGCTGTTGCTTTGTTTTCGGCTTTTTTCCCAATTATTCCACCATCCACCACTGCGCACCCATGTTCACAGTTTCTGTCATTCTTCTCCTCTTTTTTCACTGCTGGTTTGGCAATAGGGGCTTGAGAATTGGGGGTCGCGTTCTGGGCATCAGAATTGGTGCGGGCATTTGGTGCTGGGGTGCTAGCGCTGCCATTCTCTGCAGGTGGCTTTTTCTTTGAGCCCAGCACAGATCTGAAATCTGTAATGGCTGGTTTAGGAGGTGGCACCTTCTCTGGCAATGGGGTTTTTGGGGTGCCCTTCTTGGCCAGCACAGAGCGGAAGTCCACCTGCTGAGGAGCATGAACTTTCCTTTCCTCCTCTGACAAGGTCTTGGGTTTGACCTGCCGCTGCAGGTTGGCTCGGAAGTCCATTTGCTCGGCTGGAATTTCTTTCAGTTCCTCCTCAGAAAAACTTTTGGTGCTGACTTTCTTGCCTAAAATGTCACGGAAATCAAGTTGCTCAGCTTCCTGCTGCCTCAGGCTCTCCTCTGTGTGTTCCCGAGTTTCCACTCGCCTCTTCAGCACACCTCGGACGTCTTCCTGCTCTTCCTCAGCTGTTCTGTTTTCACTGCTGTTCTTTTTGAAGCCACTTGTTCTACCAAATGTTAGTTTACCATGTTCTCCACCATCTCTTCGCTCTCCAGAGCTGGCTGATTCCCTCCCACTATGATCCGAAAAAGAAAAGAAAGAGAGAGCCAGGAAAGGGGCTGGTTTAAAAATGTCAGGGAACAATCTCAGAGCAGGAACAAAATGTGTTTATAGAAGGGGAGGTTGATTAGAGGAGCACACTCCATTAGTTTATTGCATCAATGATGACTTCAGGAGCCATATAAGGGCACAAACAAAAAAGATCTTCTCTACTCTGGCTTGGTACAATGTGCTTAGCTTGTATGATGAAAACAATTTGTTGGGTCACATTTGGGGATTAGGTTGAACAGCAGCCAGCCTGGGTCTGTAAGGGCAGGGAATTAACGGAGCAAAAAATAGAACCCACCCATGCAAGTCCCTGGGAAAAATACTCACTCTCTGAGCATTTCTGCTCTGGAAGCTGAACTCTCCCGCAGCATCAGAGACACCTGGCAGCTGCATTCTCCAACTTGGTTCCTGAAATATTTAAGTGAAATCAGAAAAGCAGAGGATTCTCCCTCCAAAACTGTAACTTGCCTGAGCTAAGTGATTGTGTGTTGCCCTAAAGCAGCTCAAACCCAGTGTAGCATGCTCCTCTCCTATGCCCAGCATTGTGGTGGCTGACTGAGTGGGCTGACTGAGTGGATTTGGTCCCCTTACATTTGGAGCCAAGCTATCTCAAATAGCTTTTACTGATCTGTTGCTGTCTACACTGGGAACAACATACTCCCTGAAGAAAAATCAAAGCAATTTACAGAATGAAACAGCTGCAAACAAACAAGCTGAAGGAAAACAAATACAAAATCTGGAAAATCAAGGCTGAGGAAGGGGCTATTTTGCAAAGTTGAAAATCTTTCCAACTCTGCCTACTGTTTATTTATTCAAACCCAAGTTTTCTAATGTTAAGATATTAAAAGCAGGGTTTCATTTCCTTCCCTCCCCCCTGGCCTGACCAATCAGCAAAACCCATCTACATGGATTGCTCCAGTCTGTACATGTTTATATTAAAAAACATAAAAGTGTCACCATATATGGTGCTGAGTACTTATTCTTCCTTTTGCAGAGGAATGCCATGGATGCCTTCTGGAAAGGGCTCTCATTAAAGAATTCATTTAAAATGCTCCCTCCACCCCTGCTGCTCCCTCCCTCCCGCAGATATATATCATTCTTCTAGCCCCAAACAGCTCTTCTCCACTTAACACAGGAGATGCCAAAAGCAAAATTTAACTCCTCTAGGGCAGCAGTTGTATAACTGTTGCCACTGCTCCCCTGAACTGCTATTAAAAAAACAGACTTGAATTGATTAAGGACTAGAGAGATCTTTTATCAGTGAAACCACTTTTGTCCTTACCAGTTTAAAAGTATAAGTTTGTAAATGCACTACAAACTCCTGGATGATCTTTCTTTTTAAACAAAACTATTTTTTGCTACCGAAAACATCTCCTGGACATGAACAAAACACATGTGCATTGGGGGAAGGAAGGAAGGGAGATGGGTTTTCCCAGCTGTGTTCTCCTTTTAAAAGACTTGGTAGATAAGAGCACCGTCAAATCCACTTTGCCCTGAAGTTTAAAACACAGACTCAGGCTTGTCTTTCTCTTAGTTTGCCTGTTTTTTATCATCTGGCCTGTTTTTTAAATAGTGCTTCGAAATACATTACTAGATATGGTTCTGGTTGGGTGAATAAACTTTAATTTCACCCATTTACAACTTACAATGAAGTCACACAGTAGGCAAGATCATTAACACAGATGCAGCACTAAGTTATGTCTTTATTATAGCAATTATTACCATCACTTTTTCAGATGGATCTCCCTTGCTTTCTGTTGCTTTAGAAAATGAAACAGCAGATCAGCCTAATATGAAAATCAAGCCTTTAACAGCAAGATGAATTGGTGGGGTTGACCGAAGTAACTGAATTGCAAAGTAAAGGCCCTGCTGGTAGGAACACATCTGATTTGACCTTAAGACCATTAACAACAAGAAGCCTTAGAAACATTTTCAACACTTTATATCCAACAAGTCAGAACAAGTACACTACAAATTGTTATTGAAGAGAATCCATAAGGACAGCACTGAAAGCTATTTCCTTCAATACAAAAGGCTAGAGAACATCTGAGTATCAAACAGAAACTGTCCGAACGGCAGGAGAAGATCCAAGTCAATGCAGAGATTTTTCAACTCAGTCCTGCACTGGAGACCTGCCATTCTTACTTCCTCTTACATAGAACCTCCATTTGGAAGCAAGAGAAATAGAAAGAAGGAAAGACAAATGGAAAGATAAATAGAGAGAATCGCATGTCATCTCCTCCCAACATACTCATTGGCATCAAAAGATGGCAGGGTACCAACATTGCTGAAAACCTGTCATCTTCAAACAATGCATTTCAAACTGGCCTCTTTTGCCACTATTGAAACTTATGATCTTTTTTCCTGCTTCTCAGAAGCTTTTAAGAGAAGCAGACACACTCTGAAACTGCTCAAGTACTTTCTCACTGAGCAGTGCTATAGAGCTGTTAGCAGGCTGTACGTTTACTCTAAGATCTCTCCCGTAAGTCTACTAGACACCTATTACTCTTACTTTAGGGCTTAAAACCAACCCAAAGCTGACAAAGTAGGAGAAGCCATGCAAGCTGAAGGATAGACAATTTACAGCGTACATCAAATAGGGAGGCACCACTGCTCAGATTCTGTCATGACTGTATGGCAAAAGTATTTGCCCACAAGAATTGTGTCACCAGTGGGAGAGGTTAAAGTAACAGAGACAGCAGTCTCCCAGGAGAGGGATCTAGGGATACTGTATGTGGTCCTGACCACTGTGAAGAATAATGGCATTTCTACAGGACCCATTTCTGCAATACATCTTTCCCTCTGCAAATTCTTCACATATGCAAAGAAGCAAATAAGGAAGGCAAAGTAAACCTCTCTAAATTAAGCTATTTTTTACAGGGTTTGGAAAATAAAGGAGGGGGTAAGAAAGCAGGAGAGCATTTTGTTCTTTCTATTTTTAAAACCTTGGGAAGCACTTACAAATTATGGCAACAGCAGGACATAGAAGTACCTAGATGGAAAAACGATTCTCAAGGTAGTTTTTTGATCTTAATTATGACTTCTGATTCATGTGGGTGGCTGAAAACTACACCACTGGATACAAACCTTGAGTCTGTGACTGACTCATCATACCCGTGTTCAAAAGTGTAGCCTTCTCAGGGCAGATCTTGCTCCCAGTGAAATCGAAGTGAATTTTGTTACTGATTTTAGGAGCAGGTAGAACATAATTTTGACTTCTGAATTCGGTTGCAGAGTCTAAAAAGGTAAGTTAATAACACTGACCCTCCTTGGAGATCACAAGATGGAAAAAGAGAAACAAGCCAAGAAAAATTAAAAAGGACTGGATGGTTTCAATGCTAAGTTCAATCAAGAATAATTCTGGAAACTTTTAAAATATTTTTCATTTACGCAAATTCAGAACCTAGGCAAGGCAAGATACATAGGGGCAGTTAGAAAAAATAGAGCTTTGCAGTACATAAGCATTAACTTCAAGTCTTTCACATCTCTGCTGTTTTGAATCTTGGCAATAAATATTACTTTTCTCTGTTGGCATTTTATCAACAAAACTCTAGACAAAGACAGATCTTAGTGGCTCTGTTATTGTGGAATAATTAGATAGACATGGATAAAACCTATGCTTAATAGCTATGCTGTACAGTCTGGAAGTGTTGACTTTTGCAGGATTGTTCTGTAGAATGCCCATGCGCAGTACTTATCTTTAAAATGTCAAGGAATAATAATTAAAAACCCCCATCAAAAACAAATAAAACCCCAGCTGCAAAGCCTGAAGCAATTTTAAAAATAGCTCTCTGTCCTATTGTGGGATCAGTTTTCCCTGGAATGGCTTTTATGTTCAAAATATCTTGAAATACTAGTTTCTTGGCAGAATCTACTCAAATATTTTCACTGAACCTTAGATGAGACTTATTGTCTGTGTGTCCCTAGGAAGCACTCTCTGAAGGAACAGGAAAAAAAGCACTGTTAATTACAGTGTGGGGACACACTGTAAATTCCTACTGGCCTACCATATGTGAAACAAACATTACAGAGTAAATTACATCTTTTAAGAATGAACTGAAAGTGGTAAAGAAGTTGATCCCTAGCTACAGCTGGTGCTTCAGTCCAGGTAACTGCAAAGCTTCTGAACAAGGTTTTGCAACTCCTTTGTGAGTTAGTTAAATGGAGAGTCCAGACTCTGTGAAGCTTTAACCCCAAAGAAAGCAACTAATCCACTGGATCACAAATTTAGCTGACATAAAGCAGAGCAGCTCTACCGGCTTCAAAGATAATGCACCAATTTACTTCATTTGAGGGTTTGGCCAAAATCTTTTTATACCTGAAAGACCAACCATTTTATTTGCTTTTTTACAGTATTGAGTGGGAGAATGGAATGGGAAAGGGTCATGGTTTTCTTTCCTAAAAATAGACAATGTGTTGACAGCAGAAAACAAGGTTTGCATATTGTATTTTACAGAAAGACAGAACTATATTTACTGTTTGGTGTAATGACATGTAATCTTACAACTGCTTTTTATATAACCTGAATTGCAGAGTATTCGAGGTACCACTGATTTATAAGATGAATGTTTACCTCTGATTTTAATCAGATTATAGAAATCTCTAAAAAAGATTAATCAACACTAACCAAACTTTTACGAAAGATGGAGTAGGGGAGAAGAGAAATACTCAGCATCTGAGGACACAAAGGTTAACAAAGCAGGTGATTTGTTTAAGGAACTGCAGGAGGATTTCTGAGGTCTCTCATGTTGACTGTGCTGTTATAAAGATAAAGGCTTTACTCAAATACTGTTTCTGTCCAATTTCTTTGCTTACCTCTTAATTTACAATGTACACACTGACTGAAAGAACATGGGAAAGTCATATTGGGATAAAAAGTATACCAGTGCTTGCATCACTGGAAGGATGCAGAGGACAGGAGGAGAAAAAGATGTCTGTGGTTTTCTGAGTCAAAAAAGCATTGTTATTTCCCATTTCAATCATGATGGTTTCACAGCAACTCTGACTGATTTCTGATCCCTCAACTGCATGGCTGGAGTTTTGCAGGCTGTAAAATGTTTAAATTTCAATAGATGAATCACAGTAGTGAATCTGTTCTTTTTATATTTATGCAACACCATTCCTTGAGGTCTGAGCAATAACAGGCTCAATGAAACCTTATTAGAACAATTAAAATGAAGAATGCAAGTGTAGAGAAATCAGAGGTCTGTGTAGGTTTACAAGGACCAGGAGAGGGTACAATGTCTACCCTCTTAAAAGTTAGACTTAATGGTCTGCTATATAGTAAAACGCAAGGCAAAGCAAATGCATATACTAAATGATGCTGAGGGAGGGAAAGACAGAAAGCCAACCAGCGATCATTAATGGATCACACTAGGATCACATTGAGCTGCACATTCATGTCAGCTCACTCTCATGAAAGAACTAGGAAGAGACAAATAGATCTTTTGTTAAACTCAAATTTTTAAGTCCAGAGTTTTAATTTGTGAGCAGCCAACACAAAATGAGAATTTTGGAGGTATTAGGACAGAATTTAGAGCTTAAGAATAATGAAGAAGAAAACTGGAAAACAATTAACACTGGTAGGAAACCATACCCAGGCTAAATTAAAGGAGTTGGAGAAGGAATGAATCCCTAAAAGCAGCTATGCAACATGCTTCTGAAATTAATACATGAAAAGGAGCTGCACATTTTATTTGAAAAGAAAGTGATTATGTTTAAAAATAGCCCACTGTCAACTTCTCTATAAACTCTTCAGTGAATTGACTTGTGGTTTCTCAGTTATTGCATATTTTTAATGGACTTTGTAGGAGTTTTTGAGGCAAAGACACTAAATGCAGCTCTCCTCCTCTCAGGTACTGTTAAGACTGTTTCTGAATATATAAACAATTCTCAATCAAGTATTCTAGACAAATGCAGGCAGTTCAAAGGAGGTTTAGACAAGATTATTTGCTGCTGAAAATGATTTTAGCTCTATTGCAAACTTGAAGTTATACAGCTGACATTTGGCTCCTTGAATATTCCTGAGGCAGTTACTTCTCTGTTATTCATAGTATATAAGCAATTGCCTTAAAGGCTATGGCTTTCTCTTCCCCGAACAGTAACTGAAATTTTACAAATGACAGCAGGGCGAAAAGAGGTATGAGCATTCCCGTTGCTCTAATTGCAACATAGCTTTTTTCATTATGGATTAGAAAAAGCCAACATGAATGCATTGATCTTTGTGGGATCCCCAGCCATTTCTCCAGTAAAAGGATTAGGGAATAACTTGAAACTAGCACGCAATCTTCTGTGTTGTTTTCTAGCTACAAATTCTTCCCACCCCCAAAAAAGTTATGCTCCTCTGCTAATTTTCTGAAATAATGTATTTTCTAAGTGTACATTCTGTTATGTTCTAGAAGCATGATATTGCCAGGCTTCCACTTTGACATATGTCTTCAGTGATGAATTTGGCCACAGTGATCACCAGCTACACATGATCATTAAGGTTGACTTAAGTCAGCCACAGCAAAGTCTTCCACAAAGCCCTCTTGGCTCTCCTTTGTTCTTCCTGTTCTCTTTCCTTTTTCCATCCCTGAAGTTTTGCTGAAATACCTCATTCTCTTTCAGTTCAAGTGAAACCACCAACACATCATAAGAGAAGATGCCTATGTCCAGGGCACACAAACAGAAGTGTGGAAACGTACCAGTTGAAGGTAGCAATTCTCACAGTTTGCCTTGTTCTCATGTAGAGGTTAGTGACTTCAGTGTGGGCAAGAGGCCTCCTCAGCAGGAGCCGCTCCCAGCCCGGCCCGCGCGCTGAGGAGCCGAAACGCAGCTGGTGGTGCCGGAGGAAGGCGGGAAGAGGGATGTCCTCTGCTCTCCCACCTGACAGCAGGGATGTCGCAAAAGGCTCCTGAACCCGAACGGCACAGGGGGTGCGGAGCTGCGCAGGACACTGGGCTCTGCTGCTCCCCAGTGTTTCTCTTCCCCCGTCCCCTGGGTGCCTCTGGGTGCAGCAGGGC